CAGGGGTTGGGAAGAAACCATGCCAGACCTCTGGACTCTGCTCTGCCTGTGGTCTCAGCACACTCGGGGCAAGGGGACGCTCTGGGAGTCAGGCAGACCTCTGTGGCCTGCTCGTCAGGGACCAGGACCCATGTGCCCTGTCTGTGCCATCAGGAGGCTGGATGTGGGGTCCTCTGTGGTCCTGTTTACTCAGCACTGGTGATTCCTTCAGAGCCACCCTGCGGTGCTGAGCACGTTCTGGCCAGGCTGTCTTCATCACCTGCCATCCTCTCAACAGCTCTGTGGGGTGGGGCCCTCCTCCACACCTGATGCACCAACCACACAGTGGAAAGTGACAAAGTGACAAAGCTAGTGCCTTGCCCCAGGTTTGTCTGACCCCAGAACCTGTGTTCTTTCCGCTGGACCAAGAGCCCCAGCCTCAGGCGTCTCCCAGCTGCTTGTTGAAGGGACACCATGATTATGCACATACGCTAATGCCTTAACATGCCGAAGGAAGAGGCACCACCACAGCTGGAGGAGGTCTGAACTAGGTCTCAATGTAGAGGGAGGGACCCCTTAAGTAAGTCCCACCCTCCAAGCCATAGGTCTGCAGTTCCACCATCCCAGCATATCCTCAGTTCTTCTCTGCCAAGGGCCTCCAGTAACCCAGCCTTTCTGCAAGCGCACCCCACCCCGGGCCCTGGCCCCACCTCAGTTTCTTACACTGATGGCTAGGTTGCTATGAGAGCTGCACTTCATAGCACACACTTCTGTTCATCTCTGGGGTAAGCGGTGTTACTGTTCCCATTGTACCAATGAGAAACGTAAGAGCTAGTGAGGCGAGTCGACTTCCTGGGCATTGCCTTTGATGCCTGTGAAAATGGACACCCTATACACCAATGCAGGTGGTGTGAACCCCTTCGAAGCCACATGACCATTAGATCTTCATCCTCCAAGGTAATGTCCTCAAACAAGGGTACAGGACTTATTTCTATCCTTGGCAACTTCGTGTCACACTTTGGATACCTTTATCTGTGCATGTGAAGAGCAGCTGTTTGCAAGACTGGACATTTCTGGACATGGGAGCTGTTTTGTATGCATTGTAAACAGGGTCGCAGTGTGCCGGGGCTGGGCAGGGTTCAGGGTGAATAGAGTGCACCTACTTTTGTGAATGGCTTCACCCAAGGCCTAGCCCTGCCTTGCTTCAGAGAAAGCTTTTCATTTCCAGAGCTATGCTCTCCCTGTCTTATCCCATTCAGAGCCTTTTTTGTGGACAAATGGCTGAAATTTCTTCCAGTTGACATTTGCCTCCCATTCTGTCTCCTCATATTGTTGTGATAAGTCCCAGCAGAGAGGCCACCACAGTCCCAGAGGCGATATTGGCAAGGAGGGGATAGATTTCACCACGGCCCAGTTTCTCCTGAACTGAGAGCCCACTGGGAGGTTTGCCCTCAAAACGCAGAAGCCCTTGTCCTGGGACCTGAAACCAAAGGAGGAGAAACTAATGAGGAGGGGACACAGTGAGGCTGGCCATGGGGAGAGAGGCAAATGTGGCTGTGTCTTCCTGCGAATTACCATCCTGCAAAGCCAGTGTCAGCGTCTTTGTTGTGCCTCTGTAGAGGGTAGGGCATGGCAGGTCAGCACTCCAGCTTCATGAGGCTCAGCCACATGACTCAGTGGGCCACTTAGCCTCTGCCTGACCTGTCCCTGGCACCTTTTTTCACATAGATCAGTAAGCCTTACAGAGTTACAGCTTAGGACAGCTCTGCCTTTACTGAGCCTGGGGCTCCCTCCGAGCCACTCACCATGACACACAGGTCCCCTTAGTGCCTGCTGACCTCCACGATGCAGCTATGAACCAGGCTCACCAGGGCCCCATGAGGGCAGGGCGGAGTCCTACTTCAGGGGAGTGCAGCAGAGGCTGTAGTGGAAGTCGTGCTCTGGGGTGTCAGACTCTAGAGAGAGTCAGCACAGTCAAGAGGAGCAGACGACATAGTAAGAGGCTGGTATGAGGGGATAGCAGACCCCAGGGAGACTGGCAGTGCCACTGAAGGTGCCCACTGCCCTACAGATTTAACCCTGCTTGGGGAAGGGAGAGCACAGCATTCCAAGGATGGAGAGCTGGCAAGCAGAATAGGAGGGAGGGGAGCCTCTGTGATGGAGGTGGAAAGCCAAGATCTGCCCTGTGACTTAAAGGTGCCCCTAAGCAAGTGTCAGAACAGAACTGAAGCTGTATGTGCAGTCCCAGGGAGCACTTGCCTGAGATGAAATGCCACGAGGCCAGCTGTCCTCCAAGGAAGAAGCAACAGCTAGACACACCCACGTCATAGTTCTTAAATACAAATGTGGAGCCGTTCTTAAGTCCTTGGAGAGGAATCGGGGGCTGCCCCAGACACCCCAGCTGTGTTCTTGCCCCAGCTGCCTATGCGACAGCTGACGCAGGCCAGCGAAGTGGTCTCCAGAGCCAGGCAGAGGACTGCACCCAAGGGACTCGTCTGCCCTGCATATGCAAGAACAAGAGGTCAATACAGATAAAAGACCTCCCCGTGCCCCATCCTCTTCAAGAAATAAGAGGACCCAAAGGCTTGGCACATGCAGCGTAGACGTGCATCAGAACTGTGACCTCAAAGGCAAGGACAGGATGGAATTCAAGGACCCAGGCCAGGACTGGGCCACCCATGGCCTTCCACAGCAGGAATGGGAAGGCACTCTCACTGTTCACATTCTTTACCTCAGCGTGCAAGTGTGTGAAATTGAGTGGGTTGCGCCTCGCCGGCATGGCAGCCACAGGCGTCTGCCCCCACCCCACACTCATCCCTCCCCATCTTTAATTTAGAGGCCGCTCATTTTGTTCATCCTCTGGGGATGAGTCTTGCTGGCCTTAGCTGAACATGGGACACTCACTGCCCCTGATAGCAATGGTGTTAGGCATGGGTATGTGACCTGGTCCTAGACAGTGAGTGGAGGAGAAACCTGGAGTGGGGTTTGAGGGGAGGATTGTCCCGCCTGGTCAGATGAGACTACAGGGAGGCCTGTTCCTCCCCACTGCCTTTGACCTCTGCTGTAAAGAGGACTGCGCTGCTGACAGTGGCCTGAGGATGGCACGGACAAGAAGGGAAGGCCAGGCCCGCGTGGCATTGCAGTACAGTCAGCAGTACAGAAGTGTCCACCCCTAGGCTTCCGGAGTGAGACAGTTAAATATGGGGTCCTGTTCCCAAGCTGTCGAGCATCCTGTGCTGGTGGTTTCTAGCTGAGGAACCGGGTTCAAGTTACTGTTAGACGATAACAGCGCCAGAGACCCTGGTGGGAGAGTGACTCACCTGCTCGTCTCCCGCAGGTGCCTGGAGCCGAGCTGTGGCATGTGTGACAGTGATCCTTTCTATTGCTAAGAAACTTGAGGAACGGCTTTCTGCCTTTTTACAGCTCCTTTGGGTGCCCTCAGCCCTAAGTGGTGTTGAATTTGGAAAGGCTGTCAGGTGTTACAGTGGGTCCAGCTACAGCTGGGAAGCGTCCTGGCCTAAAACTCCCTTAAGGAAACAAATTGGCAACAACAGTACAACTAAAGCCATGTAAATAAGTGTGTCCCGCTCCTCCACTGTCCAGCTGCATGGCCTTAATTCTCTGAGCCTCAGCTTCTCATTTGTGGGAATAGCATAGTGAAAGATAGTATCTGCTGCCAGCACCGTGAGGAGCAGCACTGAGCACATGCAGCAGCCTGAGGACAGCACCTGGCCAGCATGGAGTGCGCGAATGTGCTGCTGTGTGTGTTGGTGTGCGAGTGTGTGAGATCGAGTGTGTGTGTGCCTGGCCAGCATGGAGTGTGCGAATGTGCTGCTGTGTCGGTGTGCGAGTGTGTGAGATCGAGTGTGTGTGCACCTGGCCAGCATGGAGTGCACAAATGTGCTGCTGTGTATGTCACTGTGCTCATGAGATTGAGTGTATGTGTACCTGGCTGGCAGGGAGTGCGCACGAATGTGCTGCTGTGTGTGTCATTGTGCGAGTGTGTGAGATTGAGTGTGTGTGTGCTTAGCCGGCAGGGAGTGTGCAAATGTGCTGTTGTCTGTGTCAGTATGTGTGTGAGATTGTGTGTGTGCTTGGCCGGCAGGGAGTGTGCAAATGTGCTGGTGTCTGTGTGTGTCAGTATGTGAGTGTGTGAGATTGTGTGTGTACCTGGCCAGCAGTGTGCAGATGTGCTGCTGTGTGTGTCATTGTGCGAGTGCGTGAGATTGAGTGTGCGTGGAAGGAGACCAACCAATCGGAAATTACACCCAGGAAGCTGGTCCGCTGACTGACTGTAGTGTCATCTATATTTGCTCTTTTTTTCCCACGATTTTAGAAAGTGAACTTACTCACTTTTGTGAGTCCTAAAACTACTTTGAAAAGGAAAGGGAAAAAATAGTAAATTGCCCCTAAAATATTGCTGTGGTTACCTCTAAGAAGTGAGAAGAAGGATATTTTTCATTTCTTTAGACATTTCTATAGATTCCATCTTCCTTCTTGCACACATATTAGTTTTAAATCAGCAAAAAAATAAGTTACATGGTTACAGCCATGGGTAAACCACAGGCACAGGAGAGCAGCTGACCTGGGTGCAGCAGGAATGGCTACCCTCGGCACAGCAAGGTAGGTTGTCCCAGGCATAGCGGGATGGCTGTCCTGGAGATGGGCTGCACCATCCTCCTGCGGGCCCTCCAGTGGGAGTCAGCTCATGGACTTTCCTGCCTCCGGGAGGTGCTCAGGCCCCAGCAAAGGAGACCGGTGTGGAGCCCCAGACCCACAGCCCATTTCAGTGTCTGCTGTGTTGTGAGCCTAAGCCACTGACCACAGGGCTTGACCTGCGGCTCTCCTCTCGTTTCTAGAATGGGAAAGCACAGTGCTTCTCTCTGAGGGTTAAAAGGATGCTGGTGGGTGTCAGGGGCTTAGCCTAGTGCCTGGCAGGCAGGTGGAGTGAATGTGAATTGTTTCTCTCTCCTGCCCACTGGCACCTGAGCCCCAGGCCTGCTTGTTTTTGCCTTCTGCAGGCCCCGCAGGGTGGAGCCCGTCTGCTCAGGGCTGCAGGCCCAGATCCTCCAATGCTACCGAGATCGCCTACATGAGGTGCTGCTGTGCTCAGACCTGGTCAAGGCATACCAGCGCTGCGTGAGTGCCGCCCACAAGGTAAGGCCTCACCTCCCTCCCAGGTTTCCAGGGGGCTGTGGGAGGTGGAGGAGGTACCTCTATCTAGCATTGGAGATCTCTGCCTGCCTTTTCCTGCTAGAGTCAGATGCTCCACCTGGAGGTCTCTGCATTTGCCAAGGGAGGGATTCTTGGGTCTTCGCTTTCCTCAGTCACCTCCCAGTGCACACCAGCCTGCTTCCAGGAGTGCCTTGCACACCTGTCCTGGGGAGATGATCCCTGTGGTGTTTGTCCTGTTAGGCTGGACCTTCTTAGCTCTCAGCATTTAGGGGTGGGAGCATGGCGGAGGCCCGAGTGCAGAGTGAGGGTCCTAGCAAGGATAGGTCATCTGGAAGTGGAGTGGGAGCAAGTGCGGCCATCAGGACCTGCCCGCAGCCACCACCCACCACTGATCTGCAGGGGCGTGCTGGCTCGGTCTTCCCGGTGTGTGGTCCCAGGTCACCCCCCACTCCAGTGGGCCTGCAGTGTGCTCCCAGCCAGCTTCTACTGTCTTCCTCCCCCACCCGCAGCTGCTCCTCTCTATCCTAGATAAATTCTTCCCCTTTCCAGGTCCCACAGCATCAGGCTGTTTCCAGTTACACCTCACCCTTGCCCCACCCCAACAGGATGGCTCCCACTTTGGGGAGCGTCATTCACTCTCAGGGCACCTGGCTTAGGCTCCCTGAGGAGTGTGGCCTGTTTGTGAAAATGTATGGGAGAAGCAATAGGATGAGGTCTTTCTTCCCACAGAAAAGCCTCTTTGGCCTGAATAGGAAACAGGCTGCTTTAGGTACTTGAGGTGGAAAAGGCTGAGGCCAGACACCGTCTGCTCTCCAGCCATGTCTGAGCGGGGATCTCTCCCATGGAACTGAACAGGGTCCTGCAGCCCTGGGCCTGTGAGAGCTTCCTTGGGCCAGGTCCCGATGACACCCATCTGCCAAGCTGATTGTTCCACCCTGGGCTGGTCACAGCGCCATCCAGCACTGCCTGACCCTTCATGGCCAGAGCACAGCCCAGAGGTAGCTCCATAAAGGCTGAGCGGATGCAGGGCCTCTGCCAGCCTTCCAAGAGAGGGAAGCCCTGGGTAGGACAGGAGGCCTCCTTCTCTGCCTCAGACCATGGAAGGCTGCTTGCTTTGCTTCCACATGGGCAGGAGGTGCTGGGGCACTGGGTAGGCTGGGCCGGACGAGGGCCCTTCACACCGACAAGACACTTAGCTCCGTACCCACTAGCAAGGTGAAACCCCCAGATCCTTCCCCACACCCTATCAAGGGCAGCTCCGAGTCCTGTTCATCACACACCTAACTCTCTACTGAGAGATCTACCGCAGACTCTTGGCTTCTTGGCAGGGCCCATCCTTCAGCAGCTAGCCCTTGACTCCATCTTCTCTCCATCCAGCCCACCTCTGTGGTAGTTTGTAGCCCCTACCCAGCACCCCCAAGAGTATTTCTTTAACAAACACACCTCACCAATATATCTTCTTTGCACCAAGGCAAAAATGTGATTACCAAGGAAGACAGATTACATTAAACTCCAGTGTGTTCCCTGAGAGAGGCTCTGGGACACTGCCAGGCCTGGCTCCCTCCCGGCCCTACCCCTGACATGACTAGCAAAATCCGGAGACTGAGTGATGGCAGCGCCAGAGGCCTATCTGGCTCCCTTGTGCTGCAGTGGCAGCGTGTGTGCGTTTGGGGACAGCATGTTCAACCTGACTCCCTCGGAGCCCCAGCACCCAGGCACTCAGGTGGCACCCTGTGTGTGAGATGTGGCAAGTGCTAGAGAAACTCTCACCACCCTTCTCCAGCTTCCACCTCAGAAGGCTGCTGGCAGAGCCAGAGAGCAGGGAGTGAAGGGTCCCTAAGAGGGATTTGCTTCTGGGAGGGGCCGAGAGGCAGGAGACAGAGGCCCACATGGTCAAGGACCTAGGGTGGGGCAGCACTGCTTCTCCCCCCCAGGATTTAGCATCTGCCCTGGGGCTCCTAGGGCAGCTAGGTGATGCCTAGGCCCAGAGCCTGGTGCCTGCCTGCCTGTGGATGTACAGGGTGTCTCAAATGAGGGCAGGGGCTTTGGGCTCTCCATAGTAGGGCCCTGACTGTGCAGATCCCAGCGTCCCAGCAGACTCCCGCTGAGCTGTGAAAATTCAGAGAACAGACGGGATGCCTTGGTGAGGCTGAGCAGAGTTGTATACTGTTCTATACCCAAGGTGCTTGTCAGAAACACCGGACGGGGGCAGGGCTCCTGCCTTCTGAGCCAGGAGAGTTGAGCAATGGGAGCATGTGCTGGTGTCGCTATCGTGTGGAATGAGGGCCTGTCTCCAGCTTCTGGGGACTGTGCTGGGCTCTGGGGCACAGAGGTGAAGAGACTCAGTGCTGGGTCTCAAGGTGAGGAGGGAGACTGACTCACAGCTGCTTCCCAGGAAGCGGTTGCTGTCCCAGGGCAGTCTGCATGGAGCCCTGAGGGCATGGGCAGAGTGGGCCGTGACTGAACTCTGACCTGTTCTCTTTGTAGGGCTGAGGAGCAGACATCATTCCCTGTCCTGGCAGTGACTTGGAGCCCTGAAGAAGGGACCAATCATGGGACCACAGCCCACAGAGCCCTAGGCCACAACCACCGTGCCCTGCCACGTCCTGCTGAGCGGGGCTGCCATGTGTTTAGGAGACAAAGTATACGCTGCAGTCTGAAAACAAATAAAGCAGACGCCTTTGTCTTCCGTTGTTGACTCACTGGCAGCCAGTCACTGCTGCCCACTCTGCGTCCAGCCCTCTGCTGGACACCAGTGAAGCAGGGCTGAGGAAGACGGGATGCTCCCCTCTGGGAGTCCCTGGCCTGGCAAGGGGGATGGCCTGGGAACAGCTAGTTACATCGCAGCAGCAGCAAGCCATCGCAGAAGCAGGGATGAGAAGGAAGGGAGAGCAGGCCAGCTTCCTGCTGGGCGAGGGGGTGGTGCTGCCTGCGCCCAGGGCGGAAGCTGACCAGACGAGGGCAGGGCGGGACAGAGACCCGGCAGAGTGGACCCCAGGTCTGAGGGTGGCAGGCAGTGGACAAGAGCAAAGGTGAGCAAGGCAGGCAAGCAGGTAGGCGGCGTGGCTACAGAGGTGGCAGGGCCGGAGTGCGCCAGGCTGAGCTGGCACTGTCTCTGACTGACGTTGCTCTGACTCTCAGGTGGAGGGTGGTGCCAGTGAGACAGGACTCAGCACTAGGGAGCATCACCAGTGTGGAGGGCCCTGCGCAGCTCAAGCTCAGGGAGGGTTAGTGGGGCTGACTGGCAGGACTGAATCTGACTGAGTGAAGAAGACGCAGGTGACTTTGAAGTCTCTGACTTGAGTGTTGAGGGTTCTCCTAAAATAAGGAATACAGAGATTGAGGAGAGCAGATGACAAAGTGGGTTTGGAATATGCTCTGCTTGGTTGGTGTCCAAACATTGGCCTTCCAATCCTTGACCTTTGGCCGTGTCCCACAGCCAAGGTGCCCTGACCACACTCAGCCTGTGCCATGCCAGCCGGAGAATTTTGGGACTGGAGCTTGGGATCTTCTAACTGCTCTGCTGGTGATCTTGGGTTTCCTGACAGAGCCCTTGGGGAGTCCCCATGCCATCTGGAGCTACAAGCCTGTAGTCTTGACTCGGGCTTGGCAGCGCCAACTTCCCTGCTCATTCCCAGACTCTTACACTCAGAGCTCAAGGGGTAGGTTGGGGCTTGGGCGTGTCCTATTGGCTTAGCATACCAGCAGCCTGGCAGACAGCTCTAGGAGATGCCCTCTCTAGGAGTCCCAGGTCAGCCTGTGGAAACGCACAGGAGGCTCCATGCAGTGTGATCAGCGAGGAGGGGTGGGATATACAGGGCACCCTGGCCTGAGCCCTTTGGGGAGGGGCCTACTCAGAGGAGGGGTGAGGGGTCACAGGTCCAGCCTGTCCGCCATGCTGTTGTCACTCCCTCAGAAGCCTTTGGCTTCTCGGGCTTTTTCCAACTTCAGATCTCACAAGAGTAACTTTCAGCTGTCCCTCTCTTCTCCAGGTGTCAGTTTAGGTTTTAGGGACGCATCTTGGGGTGGGAAACAGGGACTCCCAGGTAGACAGACACCTGTGGGCTGGGCGCTGCCTGAGCCTGTACCAGCTCGCTCTGTCTGGGTAACAAACCACCCCCAGACCTTGTAGCTTAAAACAACGCCTGCTTTATGTGGCTCATGATTCTGCTGGGTGGAGCTTACGGCCCAGGCCCACTCAGGTCAGCCAACAGATCTGTGACCCTAAATGGCCTCCCATGTCCTGCGGCCAGTGGGGCCATGGTTTCCTCTAAACGGCCGCTCCTCCTCCAGGCAAGCTCGGGCTACCCGCACAGGCAGAGAGCCAGCCTCCAGGAGCAAACATTGCTGATCCTCTGCCTGCGGCCCCGGGTCCCTTCATTCCCTGGTAGCCTGTCTGGTCAGATTGCAGTTGGCCTGAGAGGAGTGAAAAGACCCCTTTGGCCTCTGAGCTCCACAAAGCCACCTCCTCCTTTGGGAGTAGGGCCAGAACGAGGTTGGCGGTGGCGGTGGCAGGTAGCAGCAACAGTCCTCTCCTGCCTGGGCAGGGCCTGTGCAGAGGCGTCTAGGGACAGAGGCTGGCAGAACAGCCTCATCAGATGGCACTGTTGCCCACCCATCACTGCATAGTTGACTCAGACCAGGAGCTGACAGAGGTTTGAAGGCCAAAGGTGTGGGGGGTGTGGGACAGGGGCCAGTAAGGCTCTCCAGGGGCTCATGCAGAATCCAAGGCCCTTCCTGGAGGTCTCCCACTGTCTCTGGACCCTGGCTGCCTGAGCCTGCCTACCCCTCTCCCACATCCCCATAGTGTCCTTAGCCCTGCCTAGGCTTTCCATACCCCTAAGTCCACACATCTGTCCCCAGATCTTGCTGGATTTTCATCAACTTCCACTTGGTCCTGAAAATAAGACTCACACCTGACCCCTGGCCCGTCTGTCCACTTCCCACCTCCATGAATGGCTGCAGAGCTCATGGCCCCTGCCTGAGACTGTAGCCTCCTCCTCCTCCTCAAGGCTCTGTGCAGGAGCTTCTGCTCTCCTTCCACGTTTCTCAAGGGTTAAGCCCTGTGTGAGCCCTCCTCCTGGGTGCCCACCCAGCCCCAACACAGCCCTGGAACCCAAAGGCAATACAGTGTATGCACAGCCCGCCAGCTTCTCAAGACCAGCCTGACGTGGGATCCCCTTGACCACCCCTGTGGTCCCTGGTACGGGCAGGTAGGGAGTCATCTGGGGACCAGGGACTAGTGAATGAATGAGATATAAAGACCATCACCAGCTTCTTCATCGTCTCCAGGCCTCCCGGCATCTGCCTGGGGTCCAGGCCTTGGCACCTCCGATGATGGATTCAGGCAGGAGGGGAGCCTGGTGCACACAGGAAAATCCACAGGCTCTGCAGACCTGGGGGCCTCAGTTTAAATCCTGACCCTGCCTCCTGTTGGCTGCCAAGAAAGGCCAGCAATTCCCTTAGGCCTGAGCCTCAGTTTCGTCTTTACAGAACAACTAAAGCAATGTCCATGCTTTGTAGGGAACGCTTGTGGCCCACTCTGCACCCACCCATCTTCTTTTAGAAATAGCTTTTCAAGTTTTCTGAAGAACAACTCTCCCCAGTTCTATCAATGATTTCTGTTCCCCCGCTCCCACCACCTTCACCTCCACACAGGGAGAAGATTCTAGAGAGCAGAGCCAGCAGAGAGAGACAACCAAGGGATGGAGAGACTGTGCCTGGTCATTGAGCACCTGGATCCAGCCAGACCTGAAGTCAACACAAGCTAGCAAGTTTCCCTTTTTGTTTGAACTGGGTTTTTGTCATTTGGAACAGGACTTCTTCGTAAGAGAGCATTGTTCTGGGAAGCAAATGATCTGCTGTCAGTGCCTGACTTCCCTTTCCTTTCAGCCAAGTTGAGGTGGCAGGTTTGACTCTTTCCAGTCTGGGGACAGGAGCGCACTGACTCTCCCCTCAGGACAGCTTCAGAAGCTGTTCCAGGCCCAGCTACAGACTCTGCCATAGGGGCCACGGGGCGAGACTCAGGAATGGACTTTGTACCTGGGGAGGAGCAGAGGTGCTAGTGGCAAAATCTGAGGTGCTGATGTTCAGGGAGATGGGGGAAGCTTTCTGGGATTTCTTCAACCAGACCAGTTGGAAGTGAGGCACCCATGCACACCTCACCTGGTGAGCTCCTATCCATCCTTAGGGGCCCAGCTCTAACTTCCGCCCCTCTATGCCCCCACCCACACCTGCACACCTTTAGGTAGAAGCTGGAGACTCCTGTGAGTGAGTCCCTACAGTCTTCACCCGAGGAGATGGAGGCCAGGCCTGCGGGACTCCAGTGGGTGGGGCTCTGCTCCCCAAACTTCACCCCTGAAGGACCAGGGCCTGTTCAACCATTTCTATTAGATTCTCTCTCCCTCATTGTTTTCTGGGGGCTTTGGGTTGGGGTGAGGAGTGAGCCCCTGACTGTGCACATGACATTGTGCATTCCTCTCCTTGGCTCTCAGTGTCTGTGCGGGGCAGCTGTGCAAATGTGTTTGCATTGATATAAACTGTGTGTCCAGGTACACAAGTGTGTGTGTATGGGGCTGTATGCACATATCCATCCTGCATGCAAATCCGTGTGTGCTCATATGTGAGTACAGCGTGTGCCAGCACACATGTGCAAGCATGTGCATAGCTGTACGTGTGCCTGTCCATCTGCATGTATTCATGTCTGTGCATGTGTACTTGAGTTTGTACACAGGCAGCCAGCCATGCTCAGCACCTTCGGATGCTCACGAGCTCTTTCCAGCCTGGAGATCAACTCATTTCTCGACTTCCTCAGAGCCAAATCTTTGCCTATCACCTGCTGGAGACTGTGTGTGTCCCCAGAGCCATCTGTAACACTGCATTGGAGGATGAATGTGTGTGCTCATATGTGTCCCTACATCTCAGTACCTCTGGCTGTGTGTGGTAGGTAGGAGGTCAGGTCTGAGAGAGCAATGCACAAGTGAGGAGTGTGTCGAGCAGGGTGTGAACCTGGAGGTGGATGCTGCAGGCTCGTGCCCCAGCTGAGTGACTGTTACACAGGAGTATTAATACTCAGCCCACCAATTGCAGGGGCATTCCTAGTGATGATACTGGTTTTATCATTCAGGGTCTGACCAGGAAGACAGCACCCTTGCTGTTGACCAGGGGGAATTGAATGCAAGGGATTGGTCACAAAAGAGATGGAGGAGCTGGGAATCCAAATGGGATAGTGTGAGAGATGACTAAGACTGGCACCCGTAGGACCTCCCACCACCTGGGGCTGCAGAGACAGAGGGAAGGGCAGGATCACCCAGTGGAAGCTGGCACCACCGGGGCCCTGCGCAAGGAAGCTGAGGCCTCTGAGGAGACATAGCAGCTGTAAGAGGCCTGCCCGTGGTGGAAGAGGTGGAAATTTCCTCACTTCATTCTGCCCTTAGCCGTAGTTAGTGCCTCCCGTGGCAGGAAGCTGGAGCCGAGGCAGCCGGGCGCTGCTGCTGGCCACCCTCTGCAGTAGAGGAGTGGGTCTGAGAAAAAGGCCCAGGAAGGTGCCTTAGTGGGACTGTGTGGGCTGTGTCAAGTGGGTGTGTGTGCCTGTGCTCAGGTGGGCATGCGTGCCTGTGCTCAGGTGGGCATGCGTGCCTGTGCTCAGGTGGGCATGCGAGATGTAGCTGGAATGGCAGGTGTGTGCAT